AACTGCTAGCTTCCTCAGAGGAATCCTCAATACATCATGTGCACTGCGGATAAGAGCTCAGAGAAAAGGTAAATATGTCACAGCAGAATAAATAGTTTTAAATTGTAGTATAAAATATATTGGTTCTAGTATATTTTGATGAATAGATTAACAAAACAATTTTTGTTTTTTAGGTTAAATCTGAGAGGAAATAACTAATTTTCTCTGCTTTTTCTTGCACTATTTCATTTCATTTCATTTCATTTCAGATTGGTTGTTCCTGAATGTGCAGGTTTTCCATGTAAACTTAAATGACACTTGCTCAGTGTATAGATATCACATGAACCCCCATAGATGAATTTGCTCTTTGTATGTTTGTTGTGTGTTTTGTATGTTTACTCCTTCACTATGCAACCTTATATAATCGTTATAACCAACAGTCATATAGGCCAACTTTGCTGTACATAGAAACACTGAGTTTTAAATGCGCATTCATAAAAGTTTGTGAGTTTCAGCCCTGTACTGTATCGTATTGAGTCATAATTTACTTCAAAACAATTTATCAGTGGTATAATTGTTTGAATGGATCTTGATCTGTTGGTTTGCAAGCTCTCTAAAAGTCCTTCAAATCTTCATTGAACATTTGACATGTTTATATCATTTGAACATGCAGGTAACTTACCTGTTGGCTGGGTAATGTGACACTGTCCTCTTAATCAATCAGAGATAAACCAAGGGATCAGTTTGATGAAGTATTGAGTCAAAAACTAACAACCAACATGCTAACTGACCTCCTGCCTTGTTTCATGCCACCCTAGCTTCGGGTTTATTTCAGAGGCTAGCGCATCCCCGAGCAATATACATGGATTTTATATATGTAAAAAATCCATTGCTGTTAAAAGATTCTAGCAGAAATGTTCATTCCTGGATCACACAAGAGTCAAGCAAGCCCCTGAGGGATGGGTTAGTAAGAGCAGTCTGCGGCTCTCTTATCATCTGTAGCAAAGAGAAGACGCATTCCTCTACAGGGACAGAGATACCAGGATATCACCCTGCTCCCTGGCTGGCTTTAATAAAGAAACTCAGCAAAACAAACTTGATCCTCTTGTTATTTGTGTGCAAGGATATGGTGGCATGGACCTGAGATGTCTGTGCTGGGAACACACAGCTCTTTATTGTTCCATCATCTCTTATAGATGTGCTCTTTCTGCCTGCCATTTGTGCAGTTGAATATTACCTCAGCTTTGTCAAAGTGTCTGTTTCCTCCATAACTCCTGGATGTGCTTGTGTGCGTGAGTGTGTCTGTTTTGAAGGTAAACCAGGGGTCAGCTGAGACTGACGAGGCCATGATTTTTTTACAATTTCAGTTTCATTCAGCTCTGATTATTGGTTCAATATGTTTTTGTGCTAATCTGGGTAGGTTCTCAATTAGAACATCAATCGCCGCAGTATCTTTTTCCAGGAGACGGGCTCTTTTGGTTTCATTTCAAAAAGCTGAATAATAGTGATGTGACACCAGTTGGTGAATCTGCTTCATCTTAGCAGTTCCTCTGTAAATTATGTGTTAGACATTTCATTGAGCATTGATCATGTGCTTCTTTCAGTTGTTACACATTTTTAACTTCTATAGCTAAAAGTCACATTTTAAAGTCAAAATACTTAACTACAAAATATTGTATTTCCTGCTAAAATCCAGTGTGAATGGTGTGAGCTGAAGGTTTATAGTGAAAATTGCAGAAGAATATGAAATCAACTGCATAAAACTTGTAGTAATGTAAAAAAATAGAAAAAAATCATATGGAAAAACATTTTAAGAGGAGTGAAAATTTTCAGTCAATGCAAAAATCTCACTAAAAGACTATTAGAAATCACTGTAGAACACTGCTTTCAAATCTACACTCTGAGGTCACTGCAGCTTATAGCGTAAAATGTGCAAAAAAGCTAAAGCTAGCTGAAATTCCAAATATAGCATATAGTGCAATAGCAAGTTGACCTACAACTTGCTATTGATACACTACATGCTATACATGCTATTTTTGACTTAGCAAGTTGTAGGTCAACTTGCTATTGATACAATGTATATTATTGTTGAATCTAGTAAAATACCCTATGCAGTGTGAAAACCCCATGTAAAACTTAAGATTAGCTGATAGCTAAAACCAGCTCAAGAAAACTAACAACATCTAGACTAGCACTAGCGTGTTGACCTACACATTTAAAAGATAACTTAAAAATAAGATATCACAGCTCTGTCAAAGTACTATGGTCACAGATTGCATGACTAGAGGAGAATGTGGATTGTTTTTGTTTTATGTTTATCATTACATTTTATAAATTTGAGTCAGCCAGACGAACAAAGGAGGTAAAACTGTGCCTGGATGGTGATTGTTTCAATTAAAACCTTCTTGGTTCCAAAGTAAAGATTTGTTGATTCCAATAAATCTTCATTTAAGACAGCAACAGACTATTTCAGTGCTGGACTTCCAAATAAGTTAAATGACATTAAGTTAAAAGTTAAAATAAGTTAAAAGACATTAAAGACCAAATTACTGGTGAGGTTATTTGCACTTATGTGCAAGAAATAGGATGCAGTGAAAGTGTTCTTTTTACTTCTGAACGATAAGTTGACAAAAGAAAATTTATTGTTCAGAAATGAGCTAAAGTGCTTGCTTTTCATCAACTTCAACAAAATTTATAGCTTCAACTGCTGCTGCATGAAATTCTTATGAGTTAAGAGCTATCGTTACTACTGAGACAAAAACAACAAATCTAGACGTGATTAGTTACCGTCCTAATTATTGGGATGTTGCTATCTACTTATTTTCTCTTGCGAAGTTTAAGAAAGAACTGTTTCATTTTATTGTTTTGCTTCCCCGTTGTCCGACGCTGACATCTGCTGAACTCTTCCTGAGACTGAAAAGGGTTAAAAAGAATTACCCAAACAACATAAATGACATGGAACATCATTGTCTTCTCTACAGAATTGTCACCTCAACATGGCTGAGAGGTTTCAGTGCCCTTTTTATCCAGGGGAATAAAATATTTCCCAGGTGAAGGAGACCAGGCACCCCAGTGGACCTGGACTTGGGGAGACGTCCTTAATTGGGCTTGGTTGAGCATTGATTCCTGCGGCTTTGCTGATCCCAGCCCGAAATAGCTACAGGAAGTCCCTTTCGGTGGGCTCAGCAACTGTGAGGAAGAACGTCAAGGTCAGGTTCTGTGGGAGCTGGATTGCAAAGCAGGGTTGTGAGCTTGCAGAACCTGCCATCACAGTCTGGCACTTGGAATGTGGCTGGACTCTCTCTTAAAGAGTCTCTCTTAAATGCCCAGAGAGAGAAAGACATCAAGTAAATGTGATACTCACAAGCCCCTGACTGAGTATCTTGTTTTCTGAGTTTTCCTTGGTGAGGAAGACGTAACTTTAATGCAGCTTCAAGTAATAAGATGGAATGTCTGTTGTTGGTGGTTCAGATTACCTGGCATTCTGGGAGTCACGGTATGGTTTTCTACAAGGAATGCCTTCATTATGCTCCTGAGATACTTCAGCACCAATGTGGGTAATGATCAACTTACCTAAAGGGGTGTGAGTGAAAGGAATGGCCTTCCTGATCTGAGTCCCAGCTGTGTTGTCTTGTTCGAATTCTGTGCAAGGCACTGTGTGGACTAATAAGAACCAATGTGTTTGAGTCCAAGGTGATTCATACGTACATTTGCTGCCTGGTCACTTTGGACAAATGGTAGATGACTGGTTTTGTAATCATATCATCAGATCTGCTAATTATAACTCCAACATCAAGATGCCAACTGATCACCACCTGATTAATGGTTGGATCAAGTGGAAGCTTCTGGACAAACCTGCTACACCCCAAAGAGTCCTTGGATTTCTCGTGGAGAGTCTTTCAACTCATCCTTCCAAGGTAGTTTCTGTCATATACCAGGAAGGTAAGGGATGTGTAATGTGAATGGGCCATAATTAAGAAGGACGGGAGAGGATTTAGGAAAGACTATGGAGTAAGACTTCTGGTTGGCTTTTAAAATGTTTTGGTAAATTATTTAATGGCTCAGAAAGGACAGACCATGTTTGGTTTAGGAGAGCAACAGCAGACCTGGACTGAGGAAGCTGTCAGGCAGTGGAAAGGAGCCATTTACAGAACATCAGTGGTCCATGAAGGAGAGAAACCATTTCCCACCATTTCTCCATGGTGGGAAATAGAGTCACCTTGGAGGATGGCAAATCTATTACTGTGAGTCCCCAGCAGTAGTAACAGCAATGTTTATGTTATTATTCAACTATAATTGGAGCAGTTAAAGGTAATTGGACATGAATTAGTGCTCCACAAATAAACTAACTTAAACTGAATTTCACACATTATTTTAACTAACCTCCATTATTAGTGCGACACTCAGGAGGTGAACTCCAAATGTCACGGTCGGAGAGTGGGGAATGGGAGTTTGTCTCATCAGACCATCAGTTTCACAACCACACATGCAAAAAAAATCTCATGAAAGCGCACACAGGGTCAGTGCGACCCTGCTGGAGCGCACAGAGTGTAAGAAATCTGTGGGGCCTAAATTCTAAATTGATAAATTCTACTGAATACATCAGGTACTTTTAAACCAAGATAAAGGGATTATATTTTTTAATCCACAAAAAATAATTAAAACTAATCTCATCAAAACAATATCCTTTCTGTTGCAGATGGAAACCAAAGGAAAACAGATTATGGAACAGTGATGAAAGTCTTATCTCTGTTAATTTTAATGTTAATGTTGTAATGTTAATTCTTTATTTCTTTTGTCTGGTGTAAAAGATAAATATAATTTAAATTAGGGATGGAATTCCTATATCTGTCTGATTTCAGATGAAAAATGAATGCTGTAAAGCTGAAATGTCCCTAAAAGAGTTCATGGGACCCATCTGTGTTAATGTGGAACCTCATCATTTACCACTGTATGATTTTGGTGCTGATCCAATACCAAATAAATACAAAGCTGGAATTGTCGATAACAATATAGATCACAAAATGTCTTTTAAAAAAGGTCATTATAATATAGTAGCTAATTTGGTGATTTGACTTGAAAAGGATTATGACAAGTTTTTTTTTAATTGACTACTATAAACAACAAAATTGCAGAATAGACATAGGGTAATTTTGTTATTACCTTCCACTAAATACAATTGTTTATCGGGATAATTGAGGCAGTAACTAATATCATGTTATTTAAAAAGAATATTGCTTTTCCTTCAATAATCAATAATATTCATATTCCAGATTTTAGGTATATACAATTGAAACCAGATATTCACATGCACTGAATAAAAAGACTTAAGCACATTTTTTTATCACTGTCTGAAGTGAAATCAAACCAAGCTTTTCTTGTTTTAACTAACGGTTATAATTAACACAATTATTTCTAACTGCTAAATGCAAATACAAATGCAAATGTAAAAAAATGGTTATTTTCAAAAAAAATTATAATTTTCCTTTAATTCAAAAGTTCACATACATTTAGTTTTTTAAAATGTATGACTTGGGTCAACCTTTAAGATTTTAAGATGAACAAGTAGACCTTAAAATGTCATCCAACCAATTAGGTCATCAAGATTGTAATACTTGATGAATGTGTTTCAGCCTTTTCAGAGCAGAATAGCTCCGCTTTGCTTACTAGCTTATTTTTCTGTATGAACATTTAGTTTGTCATGGGCTGGTGAACTGAGGTGCCTCTCTCACTTAACTAACATATGTGTTTGAACTGTGTGAAGATTGTGGAGTACTTCACATGCACAGGGAGAGCATGTAAATGCCACACATAAAAGTCCCAGGATCTTCATGTTGTGATGCATCAAGAATTGTTATCAAAAGTTAAAATAGGAGAAAATATAGATGTAAAATTCTAATTTTGCTGAATGTACATATAAACTGCTATTTTCTACTGAGATCACAAATAAGTTTGAAGTATCTGGTCACAATGACATCAAAGGCATTTCCAAAACAATTATTTCTGATCAGTTTGACACTTAGAATTGCTTCAATATTGGACTTTGGCTTAAAGTACTGATTAATAACCATAACTGACCCCCACCACCCTCCTGTCTTTGCACACATATTATTTTCTAGTAGCAAGATCCAAACCGTGTTAAAAGCACAAAATCACACGAAGAACCCCAAGAGCTCCAGTTGATGCCCTAATACCCCCCAGGGTAGAAACTTTGGCAATTATTGAAACAAGTTGGGAAAGAATGAAAACAGGAAGAAAGCACAACAGAGAATGATAAGTGAGTGTGGCTGTTCCGCCACTTATGAGATGTGTAGAAAATTAGATTTGCAGTTTCCCTCTGAATGCTGTTGCACAGCTGAGGGCCTAATAAATGACCTCGGAGTTAATGCATGTGTGACTCTCTCCCACTCCCTCACACCCTCAGAGTATTGACTTTTTCCTCACTGTGTTTATTTGAATTTCTCATTATCTTGATATTTTCAGAGAAGCTCGTTTTGGTTTATTGAAATCGTTTGCTTCAGTGACTCATGAAGCCACTGTTGGATTCAGGAGAAATCCACTGCGAGAAGAAGAAGCTGCTTTCGGGAGCCTGTGATTTATAGGATCTATTTAAAAAAACAGGAAACCGCATAACCCACAGCTGTCACTGGAGCAAATGTTGGACTGCTGATTCCAACTTGACGTCTAAAAGAGAATTTAAATACCTGACTATGACTCACTGATTGGTTATGTGTATCCATGTAACACACATTACTCATCAACCAATACAGATTTTCTTTATATAAACTTGATATGTGTTTGAAAATATCTCCACTTAATCAGTTTCCTCCCTTTCACCTTCTCCATCAACATAGAATGTCATGGTACATTAGAGGTAAACAAGACAGTATATTTGCACAGTTTGAATGAGCTCCAAGCCACATGCTGGAAGGTGATGTGTTCAGGTGTGTTGTTAGGAGGAGGAAAAAAATCTAAAATGACCATCAGTCACTGTCTCACCACCCTCCCAGGTTCACTACACAGTATCAGAGTTCACATAGACACAAATCAGATTTCATACTTTAGACTTAATTGTCCTGCAGTGGAACAAATAAAGAAGTAGTAATTGAAAAAAAAAAAAAGCTGAGCTCACCTGAGTTGACATTATTCAAAACCTTTGTAGATGAGTTGGCATGGGTGTATTTTGGACCATTAGTCAAGAACAATTAGAAAAGGAAACAATATATTAAAAAAGTTTGGAGGAAGATAAAGTTAAAGGTAATTTAAGTTTCCTATTTTGATAACAGTATTCTTGATGCTAATGTGATAGTTGAAGATCCCTGTGATGCGCCCCTCTACCGCTGGCACTGGTTGTCCCCCGTCAGCACCTTCACTGTATCTATAAGCTTTAGCAATAAAGGAATGTTACCTGATTGGCGGCGGGGGTCCAAGCGTGGCCTGAACTGAGGGACGTGGCAGCGGTGCTGGGTCGGGTGTTTGACGCTCTGCGTCCCTCCCTGTGCCTCTTTGACCTGAGGCTGTTGCTCTACTGATGAGCTACAGTACCTTTGCTCCATGGACCCACCTACCTCTGCAGCAAAATGCCTGAGGCTATGTGGTTTGCTGGAGCTGCTGCAGCCTACAGGAGCCAGGGTTACCTGCCCTTTGCTGACCCAGGGCCCCAAAGTTTGGAAGGCCTTTATTCTTATCACCATTCTTTGAAACTGTACATGATAACTCCACATCTCTGATATAAGGTGGAGCTTGGGCCACTATTACTGGGTTAAATCATAAGACAAAGAATCTTAAAATCTATCAGAATTTACAGGTGAAACCAACATTACTCATAGATCTGGCAGAATAAGGTGTAACATAGTCTGTTCGTTTTACCATCATATTTGTTTTGTCTGGAAGTATAATGTTTCCAACTGGTCCAGCCAGAGCTCTAACATGATAGAGATTCTGTAAAGTGAACATTAAGGTGATGGCAACGTGGCCTTCAGAACATTAAAGACTTGAAGCTCATCACCAAAGATAATTTGTCAAAATATGAAAGGAAGGACACACCTGGACAGATCATGAGTCCATCACAGTAGATAACATCTGCTTATTATTATTATTTTTTAAATGTGTCAGAATGAAGTCGTTTGTTGTTTTGACTCATCAACATGACCTCTCATGACGTTGTGGTCCTAACCTGCTTGGTCATGTGGTGAAACTCCAACAATCATTCTGTATATTTCCACACTTTTTACTTTTGCATTCTTTTCCTAGTCCTTACCGATGTAGAGCAGTCTGTGTAAAAGTATTGGCCTCACAGTTTATAGGATGTTAAGGACGATTTTATTATTTAAAAGTGGCTTTAAAAGTAAAATATTACCTTTAAGAGGTAATATTTTATTACTGTATGTAATAAAATACATACAGTATTTTATTACTGTAAAATACTGTATGTATTTTACATACAGTATTTTATATTGTATTGTCTACAATATAAGGTAGACAATATATTGTCTACCTTTAATTACATGAATGAAAGCAGTTTTTGTCAGAAGAAGTAGATTAGGAATGTTTTCTCTGTGATAACCTTGTAACATCAACACAGCGTAGTGGTGTGGGGGACGTATAGGAGCAGAACAAAAGTCTGTGCTTATATGCCGGTTCTCTAGCTAACTGATCATGACGTTGTTTTCATTTCCACTTATTTGCTCCACATTCCAGTCAAACATGCTCTAACAACAAGAGCTCTAAGCCCGCACACTGAGGTTAGATGGGGGTGAGTTCTTTGCAGCAAAAGTACTGTGATGTCCCCCTCCACTCTATGTGGAGGGATCCGTCATTTATTAATTGTGCTTTGTCCCGAGGCGGACCGGAAGGGGAGGGACCAGGATCCGCTAGGGCCCAGCGCATCTGGCTATATAAGCAACCTGCTCCAGTGCGTCAAGAGAGGGGAGGGGAGTTGAAGCTGGCTTAAAGCTGAGTCGTCTTCTCCACCCAGCTCCGCTCTCCAGACTTGCGCTTCCCTGACTGGCCTGCCCACCCCGTCTTTGTTTGTTTGGTTTTGTTTTATTTGACTTTTCTTTTGCAGGACTCCCCTGCTCACCCCACCGGCTTCTGAGATGCCATCGGCCACAGGGGGCCGCCTGCTTGTTTGTTGCTTTTTGTTTAATTTGTTGCTCAATAAAGAGCGTATTTATTGTTGAAGGCTGTGTCTTCCTGGTTTTTGTTATGGCTCAACGAGCCGGGTCGTAACAGTATGAAAATATTTTTTGCTGAGTTTTAATATGAGTGAATATTAAAAAAGACTATGTATAGTATTTAATGACCTGCATAGATATCCTCAAAGCGCTATTAAATGAAAAATACTCAGATATACGCATGGATAGGAGGCTAGTTTGATGGGGTCTGAGTCTCTTATGTCCTTACTACATCCCTGTCAAGAGTCGTGGTTTGTTGTTGATGAGGAAGAGGCTGTAGGTTATGGTGAAAATGAGGGTTTAATAATGGTAATGAAGAGAACAGAAGTCCAGGCAGCACAGGTGAGCAAAAGGCAAGTAGTACTGTATGGAGGACCAAAACTGTCATAATAAGAAATAAAAGCATAAATATATATTTAACTTTTCCTTGTCCTTACACATGAGTTTCCTTCAAGTTAGAACAATTTCACACTGATTTTAACTCAATAGGTCACATGACCTAGAAGCTATTGAAGAGAAATACTAAATTTAAGCTAATAAAAATAGGTAACAAAAATAAAATTTTAGTTAAAATGGAAGAAAAATGCATGTCCCTCATATATACAGTTTAGTTAGTAAAACAATTACACAGTGATTTCTAGTCAATGTGGCGCACAATATGGAAGCTATTGAAGAAAACATTATATTATTTAATATTAAAATTATTTACAATATTGAATATGACTTGACATTTTAATAGAGTGTAGTGTGTGTCATGTAAAAGCATGAATTACCACTTTTTTTGCCAGTTGGTCACAAGGCAAGGCATTTATTAACATTTGTTTGACAGGAGTGTTTGGTTCAGAAATTTGTTGACAGCCCTAAGTGAACCTCCGAGCGTTTGAGAACGTTCATAAATCGTTGATCTGATTTATAAACGATTTAGAGTTCATAAATCGGATCAAACTTGAACTAAACGCTGCTTGCTCAGCAGATATTGGATATTCCAATATCCAACTCGAAAATAACTTCACTGCAGTCGGTAACACAATAAAACCACTGGGATAAAGTTTGTTTTGGACTGTGGCCTGTAAAGATGGCACTGAACGACTGCACGAGACGTAAACGCCCCACAACGTCTGACGCAGTGACGTTGGTTCCAAAGCTCTATTGGCCAATAGTAGAGGAGCTGGACATAGAAGGTAGCTCTCCTCATTAACAGAACGATGCACACGGAAAAGTAAAAACAGGAGAGGAGGCAATGACAGAAAAACGAGGGCATTTATAAGGAAAAGACAAAATAAAATATTTACTTTTCTTGAGAAAAACACATATTTAGGGGAAATGAAAAAGAAAATACCGAGAGCAAAATAATAATTTCAAAGGCAGCTTTTGACCCATGGAGTGAACTTTACAAAGCTAACAACTGTACCTGAGAACCAATACAGGTCCTACGAAGTGTCATTAGTAGATTATGCAAGGGGCAAAGTTAAAAAGGTATTTTTGTGTTCAATAGTTCAAGATAGACGAAGCCTGCTTACCAAACATTATTTCTTCGAGCTTGGCTGCTTGTCCTTGTCTTGTTCTTTCATCTCATTCAGCCTGGGTAAATGTGGAGGATGTTCTTTCTCAGTTTCTGCTTGTTCTTTTTTTGAATCTTTTGTTTTCCCATTTAAACACTTGTCCTCTCAACTTTAGTTATCTGCATGTGCAGAGGATATTTTTCATCCCACACAAAGAGTACAAAAGACAAAAAAGGCTTTTTATTCCTCCAACCTTCCTTTATGCTGTTTGTCACCAGAGGCAGTTGTTCTCTGATGGCTCCTCTGAGGAGATCTGTTAATGACGCATAAACAGATACACAGAGCGCAGGTTCAGCACTTATTTTGAACAGAAAAGTAATTTAAGACTTCTTTATCATTGACATGTTTGTATACAATTTCAATTTTTAAAAAGCCTAATTCCAACACCTCTCCACCCCCACAATCAATACAATTTCAGTTCAAAATAAACATTAGAGAGAATAATTTGATGCTAAAGCAATCAGTGTGGATTTTACCTTTTTAATATTAAAATATGGGTCCACATTTTACCAAAACTGTAAACCAGTTTATGCTCTAATGTGAAGTGGAGGTAGCCAGTAAAGCTAGAAGTCCTTGCAGAATAAACTTTGTAAGTCAGGAAGGTTTGCAGAAGATTTCACTTTAGTTGGCATATTTTAATAACTGGAAAAAAGAAATGTAAACAGCGTTGACAGATTGTTGTGAGTCAGGACAGTCTATACAGCTGTATGCCTGGGCAAGAAGGAACGCATGGCCATGGTGGAGTGAGTTGTCTTCTCTTATTTCAGCAGATTAGAATATCTTCAGCTTAAAGGAGGGGTATTATAAAGCTCAAAAAATTATATTTTGCATGTCATATTGTAATATCCCTCATCTAAAACATACCTGGTGAGTTGCTTTGAATCTTTCATGCATGTTTGAGAAATTCTTGAATCTCCCATGGTAACCATTCAGGGGTGTTTTAAATCCTGCTTATATAATGCACCACCTATTAACTCAAAGCTCAACCTCAGGCGAGCACCTGCCCACAGAGCAGGTGCAACCTTACCCACTCAACTCCTCCAGACTAGCGGCAGCGGCAATTAGTAAACATCCAGTGGATCTGAGCGTCTGTTGAGCTCTAAGCATGACTTTAAATCAATAGATGGCATCATGGAGAAGCATTGTTGTGATGATGTGCTGAAGGGGGAGTGTCAGAAGGGATAGGAGAGACTAATTTCATGTTATCAGATACAGCATTTTCATAAAAACTGAAGGAAACATAGCTACTGTATTGTGATATAAAATGGCACTATATGCCTGGAACATACATACCTCTCTCCACTCATCCCCCTTTAAGAACACAGGGAGCTGCCAGGCTGAGAAGTACATATGTACATATGTGCAAATTAGAACGCCCCCTTCAGTTCAAATGCTCTGTAACTGTGTTAATTATTAAACAAGCTAAATCTGTCCAGAACATGTTTTATATGTTATCTTGCTCTGTCTCCAGTAAACGGAGCCACATTTTTAACAGAACAACCAAAAGTGACTCTTAGATCATGAAGAGTTACATGATGATAAACTGCCAAGGCAGAGAGATAATGAGATCATCTGAGGTACAACCTAATGTAGTGATGTTGCTCTGCCATCTTGGTCAGATGTAGGATGCATCAGACATACAGGAATATTTTAAACCATCAAAGACCACCTAGTGTTGTATGCCAATATATTTTGGACTTTCGACCTGATTAAGAAAGGTTTTTAGAAAATGTTTTGGCCTCACATCATGTAGAGGGAAACTATAGAAACAAACCACCCTACTGGTGGTTTGACTCCATTTCTTTTAATGCTATGAATTAACTAGAAAACATAATGTTGTATGTTAGTTAGTTACTACCAACTGCTCTTCCACATCAGTATGGTTGTTAATGCATGTGCTGTTTTGAAATGATTGTGCAAAAGAGACAAGCTCCAGCATGTCAAAGTGAACCTGACAAAATCAGACTTATTATTGTGGCCTTTATTCACCACAGTGGAGGAGGAGACTGCTTCTCCATATGCATGATTCAGCCTGGAACTCCAGTGTTGCAGTGTTATTTCTAAGAAGTTACTGGCACTGTCTTGGAAACGATCTGAACCTTAATCACTCTTTGGGTGTCCCAAATTCTCCACTTTGCGCAACAGTGAGGATTTGGCCTTGAATTCCCCCAGTGCCCTGTTTGTTACCCCACCAAACAGGGCTTCTGGTACTTCAGGGGAAAGGAATGTGGAAGGCGTGTGTGTGCTTGCCCTACAGCTACATACACACTGAGCCAATTATGTTTCTCTAATCAAAGGTAAGTGAGTTTCCCACAGCGCCCTGGAAACCTGCTCACCATGTGAACATAAGAAATGGTGTTTATACTTCTGTGTGTGCGTGCATGTGTGTGTGTGTATGCCTCAAATGAGCCAACCTTTTCTGATTAACATAAACTGTTGTGCTCTGTAAGTGCTTTGTACCCCTCTGATTGAGCGAAAGGATTTCACAGGTTGCTGAAGATGAGGCTCATCCCTTCTCATTACCCACAGTTCTTGTCTCTCTGCCTCTGACAAATACAATACATAACCTTAACACAGCCACATAGTCAAACGTAAAGTTAAACCTGACTTTAAACACTTTTGTCTTGGATAACCTACCATCGTGAGAAATTATGAGCGGTGATGGACCTTTTTTTAATAGAAGACTTTTAATCAGAATTAAGAGTAAATCGTAGATTCTGACTCTTTTTTTTTTTACATTTACTGATTCAAAAGTGTAGAAATAAACACAGATTGCAAAAACAGCTTCAGTCTGTCTTCACTTTCCCCTAAATGCCTATGAGCTGTTTGAAATATGGGACTCTGTTCGCTCTATGGAGCTGATATGCCTTTGGGTCTATAGGTTCATCATTAGACTGGAGAAAATACTTTGGTTTGCTTACATTTACTGCTTCCTTAATAAGTAATGAACTTTAACTTTTAACATGTGAACTTGCACCCATAAATTCTTTTTGCAGTTTTTCCTGAGCACTAAGGTCTTATCTGAGATGAATTCACTGGGTCACCATGGGGATGACTGGCTGCTTTCTCAAATGTTTTCTTCGTCAGAATGGCAATAAAGAAATTATAAATGTCATTATAATATTCTTCAGATTAATAACCAACAATTGTTACTTTTCTAATATCAGTACTGATATCTGTCCACCTCAGTAAAGATTATTACAATCCTTTCACTGATAATGTTACTAAATACATTAAAATCCCGCAGTTATTACTTCCTTTCAAAAAGCTATTAAAGTAGGATGAATGTAGTCAGGTTTTCGTATGAATGTATATAAAATCTGAGAGAATCAGGTCAGTATCACCAAAGGAGACATGAGAAAATGTTATATTCCCATATTTTCACCATTTAATAGCACTTTAAGACAAAAAAAGACATAATTTTTTTTTTTTTTTTTTTTTTTTTTACCACAAATGTCAGACTGCATGATATTATGTTATATGTTTATGGTAAAGACACATCCTGAAGGGATCATTAATATTTGTCAGTGTGTCCCTTGTTGGGATTCTGTCTGGATGCCTATCTGGCATCCAGACAGAATCCCCAAACAACAGCAATAGATGAAAAAGCTGCTTCTCTTGGCCCAATCGGGTTGGCTTTTGCTTCAAAAAACCATCTGATGGGGTGCAAGTTGTGCTGAAAGGAGTTAGCCTATCAGCAAAGATGTTCAAGCCTAAAATAGCATCTCAATGCTAACCATGTAGCAGCAGGACAGACGTGCCTGATGCTAACATTAACGTGCACAGTCCACATTTCTAAATAAGTTTTATCAATGATCTGCAGTTTCTGAAACAATGAAACACTTTCCACCAATCTGATATTTGAAAAACCTCAATAACAGTTTAAAATAATCTTTATTGTTGAGCTTATGTGTCTGTTTATTAAATAATTTAGGAGAACTAAAAATTCTCCTGGATTTTTACCCTGGATACAGCAATAATGTTCGTGGGTCAGTTTGACCCGGGGAGTGTTTAATCATGCAATAGTGTCAGAAACCAAAAAATTCTTCCAAAACATTTTTGTATCTGATTATTAACTCCAATACTAACCATTTCAATCAATATTTGTGCAATGATGTTCTTTTTTTTTATTTCTCATAAATAAAGGATCAATGAAAACAACTTACTTATTTACTCATTTGGACATAAAATATGGAATTTACATTTTTTATGTCCACTGAAAAAAACCTAGACACAAAAAAACAATAATTTCCTTGAAATTGATCTTTTGTAATTTTTTTATATTACATTTCGATTTTTTTTTCAAGGGGTGATCTTTATAATTGAACTTGAGACACGTATACTGTTCAGAGTCAAATTGACGCGCTGATTAAAATCAAGACAAATGAGTCATGCAGAGAGTATTTATGTTTCCCCTCCACTTCCTCTGAGTGTCCACTCAGTGTGGGTGGAGTTTGCCCATGTGAACGGAAAAGGTTCCCGTCAAAAACTGCATGAACACCTGTTTTCTCGCAGTTTCCTAGTGAAGTAAAGATAATAGTGAGAAAGTGAGCTTGTGTGTGTGTGGTGAGATATAGTTCATAGCTGCAAGGAAACATATAGAATTGGACATTTTTTAATCTTTTTTACCATTCAACTTGACTGCTGGATCAAATTGACCCGAACAGTATCTATGTAATATGTAGATGCAGGGGGGATTGCAAATGTGTAAAATGAATACATTTTCAATATATATGTATATATATATGTAGAGTGCATCTTCCAACTATTTAAAAAAATGTTTTAACTTTATAACTGGTCAATTTGACCCACAACATAACAGGAAGGTTAAAGGTAGAAATATAGATCTTTGTACATGTTGGTCAAGTTGTTAAATAAACAAAGAAAAGATGATGCCAGTGTCTGAAAAAAGGTGAAAAGACTTATTGTGGAGTCCAAGTGTAGTTGGGGTTTAGGGCTAGATACAAAATACAAATGTGCCATTTTTTACCTAAGCATAATGCCAAACCTGGTTGGGGCTGATCAGATAATTTCACTAAGTCTGGTTTTCAATGTGTTGTCAGCCCCATATCGTCATATTAAAGCAAGTTCTTCTTGATATCCTAGAATATTGCAGTTTCTCACCAAGTTATAGAAATTGGATCTTGGGATAGACTGAGTTAAAAGCAAATGCAGTGAGCAGGTTTAAATAGAGGGATAATCTAGAAAGCCGAGGAGAGGACATGCACTCCCTCTAAACAAGTTGCCATGTTTCACCAAGTCAGCACAACACCTCCCCTCTGTGAGTCACTGCTGGTTTTAGAGAGCAGGCATGGCTCAGAAAGGGGAGGGAGTACAAGCAGCAAAATCATGGGGCAAGACAAAAAGACAGAAGTCAGGGAGACAGATGAACAGAGACAAAAAAAGTTGGGTGATGTCAGAGAGTTGAATGTGGAGTAGCAGATTTAAGGAAGGAGCATGAAAGACCACTTATAGTGTGGACTGTAACAGTGAGGAACTTTTTCCCCCCTGGACTAGTCGTACCCTCATAGGCCCCACCAGAGAGACATATCCAACCCAAACAGAAACAGAGACTGTGCGCCAGGCAGTGTTTAAGAAGATGAACAGATCTACGTCTATTAACAAAGATGGGGAAACAGCTTCAAATGGACAAACGTTTTCCCAAAATGGAAAAGATCTTGGAAGGAAACTCCAGGAAGGTGGTGGAAAGAAGGTGGAACTGGGCAAAAAGGTGACCCTGCTGCGAGGAATCTCCATCATTGTTGGGACCATCATCGGAGCTGGAATCTTCATCTCACCCAAGGGAATCCTGAAACACTCTGGCAGTGTGGGAATGTCCCTGACTGTGTGGATTGCCTGTGGTGTCCTGTCACTTTTTGGTGAGTTACATTTCTGATTTGTGGGTGGCTTCAGAGGAATGGGTTCAAGACCTGATCATGCTCAGAGGGCAGACAAAACCTAGAGGGGGACAAGAGCAGAACACCTTCTGCTGAAGCTGTAAAGGAGGACTGGATGAAGCACTGTACCATCAGTTAAAAACAAACATTAACTATGATTTGTTCTGTTTTTAAATTCACACATTGAAATACATGATGTAACATGTCCAAAACACACTAGTGTTATCTATTAGCCTTAAGCTTGTGGTGTTGCTTAAATCAGTTCTCATTGGATTCTTGTTCCAAAATCTGGTTTCACAAGATTGTAATGTAAGTTACAACATATCTGGTGTCTGTTTGACTTGCAAGGACTTGATGTTTTAAGCTTCAACTATTCCAATAACAAATTAATCCAAGCATAAAGCATGGATCATGATGTGCTGAACTGTTTTCAGGTCCAAAGCTAACAGCCTTGACAAAACCTGTTTGTGTTGTGACACATTTTACCTGGATCAGTCTTTATCAAAGTCTCATATTTATTAGCTGTGCTTACTTTCACTGCAACACTGTAGAAAGGGGCAAGCAGCTCAGCCATAAAAGTTAGTTTGACATACTGAAAGGAGGTTTTTACTTTTAATTAACACCGTTTTGGATCACAAAGCACTAGGAACTCCAGGAACCCGTTCATGAGCCAAAGAAGCTGAGCTGACCCTTCATATCCTTAACAGAATGTTATGTCCATATTCAACAAAGTCACACTTCGTCGTACCGATGATAACAGAGTTAGTTGAAGTCTAAAAGAGACAATGCATCTCAGGGCGGTCCATATCTGTTCCTCCTTTGCTAAATCTGTGATTAAAGCCTTTGTTTCTCATGTGAAACGTCATGAGCCAACCTTAGGACTGAAAGGTTCACAGAATACTCAATAAATTGCTTTCAGATAATTTGCTGCCTCTTGGACAAAAACTCTTGCTTTTTGTCCAAATGATGAAATACAAAAATGTCTTGGTTAGTTTCTAGTTGGACTCAAATGCAGGTAGAAAAGAAAAGTGGCGGGAGAAGAGAAGTTTTTTTTTTTTTTTTTTTTAGTAATTAAAAGATAGAGGACATTGAACAGTTTGAAAAAAGCTCGTCCAGCCTAATCTGGACTTAACTGGAAATAAAAGCTTGCTTGTTAACTCATTTATGTAATCAGCCACATTTGTTGATTTAATTTTTCTAGCCATTCACAGGCCTGATTTCACAGAACCCATCAGATAAGTCCAAAAGGCATCACACTGTGCCCTGATGCTTCTGTTTCTGAGATGTTTTAACCCACTTCATGTTGTCAGGCAGGTTCTAGTGACTCAGTGATTGTACAGGTCTGACTGTAATCAGTCCTGGATCTGACTGGTAAAATAGAACACAGATAATTCATATTTTCATATTAGACCAAGTTTGATTGGATAACTTTTTACTCCTTTGGAGATGAACTTCTAATTTTATAACGGGCTTTTGTACTTACTCAGGTTTTTGTCTGGGGGTAAATTCTTCCTCACAGAGAAGAGAAATAAATGACCCAACCTGACGTGCCAACAGACAGCTTGTTGGTTTTTCTCCACATTATTACTAAGTTCCCTTCCTACCTTTACCAGCATGTGTTCCTTTGCAGATTTACACAGAGGATTAAATCCAGTCATGTTCAACATTGTTGCCGTCTATATACTGAGTCTGTATGATGCTTCGACTCAACTGATAATTAATTAGCAGTTGATAATCGAGTTAACATTGAGTCACGTCAGGCTGATTGCTCCACCAGCTCTCAGTCCTTACGTAAATCTGCCCAGTGCTTTACAGTAGCATGGCTTTATTATATTGTGTTGTTGAATCCCTAAATCCTTCAGTTTTCATGCTGTAATGAAAACTCCAAGCACATTATCCTTAAATACTCTACTTCAGCCTCTTCTTTACTCTCTTTATTTCTCTTGCTCCAAACTCTAATTAAGATTCAACTCTGCAGAAGTCCCTTCCTAAAGCTGCCCGGGTTCTGGAAAGCCTCCCAGCATCATATCCTGTAGGGACTTCTGGGCCTAGAGAGTATTATTCTGTAAATGTGACGGTTTCTGTATCTGTCTTCTTGATATTCAACCAAAACTAATATGTTACCTTTGTCACTGCAGGAGCACTGTGCTATGCTGAGCTGGGGACTTGCATTAAGAAGTCTGGAGGACATTACACATATATAATGGAAGCATTTGGACCTCAGATGGCTTTTATCAGACTTTGGGCTGATCTCATTGCAATAAGGTGATGTATTGTAAATCTTGTCAGCCTAATCTGTAAATAAAACAGACAGTGACCAATGGTTTAACACTAAGTGACAAATGGTGCCCTGTCCTTCTTTCATGCTCGAAGTTCCCACACATTTCACCCAAAGCCAAACAGTCAACATGCAGTGCTGTGGTTTCAGCACGTCGGTACGTGCACCAGGGGGGACACCCATCCCACTTCAGTATACATCACACATGTATATCCAGTCATTTACATCCTAAATGTTTCCAATTATTTTGAATTATTCTTCAGAAAAGATCCCATGACTTTAAAAAACTTTCCCCAGGCTACTGGTAGGTAGAAAGGTAACAATGGAAAATAGGATTCAAGCCAATGGTCCATATCAGAATATGTCCTAAAAGCCTTATTTCCAGCAAATGCCGTTATTCTGTCTCCTACAGTCTGAAATTAATAAATGTATCTATGACCAAATTAAAACTATCTGCTCAGAACAAACATACAGTGCCATTCTGTTGGAATGTAACCACGTTCAGCCTTTAATAAGCATTTTAATTTAACCTTGACATTTCAAAGTCACTTAAAAAAGTTATTTTAATAAATATGTGCCACATGCAGGTTTTCATTTTTTATTTAACCATGCTAAATTTGACACTTTCATTCTGGGTTCATCTTCTGGTTTCTTTTAATGGGCTTTGGTCCTTGAAACAGCACATATCTTCAGAAGTCTGATCTTAAATGAGAAGTGGCCCAAAGCTATAGGACAGCTATAGCTATAGTTTACAAATGCTAAGAAACATTTTCTGCTGATGATTAAAGAAAAAAGATCAGTTTGTTCTTTATATTAGTTTAAAAAGTTTTCTCAGGAAACCCAGCAGATTGCACCAAGTCATTGACTTTCAGCATCCACTCCTGGGCAAATGCATAGTGACAGTAGAAAATTGATTGCATTGAACTGTTGACTTTGCAAAAATCCCTCATACTGACCATGCATGCTGTAACAGTGGAAAGAAAAACTTTCCTTTCACAGGAAGTAATCTCCAACAGAGAAGACAGAGCAGAGAAACAAGAAGAAAGCCTCTGCTCCCCTCGAGAAAGGTGTAAGAACAGAACAGAATGCCAGACCGGATGTAGCTTCTATGAAAAGAAAAAAATAACAGCAAAAAGTAAATTTTTGCTGTTTAACATGGAACTTACCTTGTTATAATAAACTCCAGACAAGACGTCATACTGCTGCCTTCGCTCCTCAGGCAAACATGTGACGCAGTAGTGGAACAAGACTGCGTCGGCCAGGGGGCGGGGCTAATGACCGGGCCCAAATGATAAAACTCATGATAATTTAACTTTA